GTTGTCGTTGCGGTCGCCCACCAACACGCGCAGGCTCACGTTGGCGCTGAGCGCGGGCGAGCCCTGGTCGCGGGCCTGCAGCGTCAGCTCGAAGGCGCGCAGCTGCTCGTGGTCGAAGGCGCGCTGCGCGAACACCACCCCGCTCTGCGCGCTCACCGACACGTAGGACGACAGCGCCCGCGGCTCCAGGTCGCTGGCCACGATGGAGTAAGAGACGAGGCCGTTGGGTCCCAGGTCGGGGTCAGAGGCGCTGACTTGAGCGATGGAGGCGCCGGCAGGCTTGTTCTCCGCCACGTGGACCACGTAGGAGGCCTGGTGGAAAACCGGAGCATTGTCGTTGACGTCGCCGATGTGCAGTGTGACGCTTGTACTGGAGGATAGGGATGGCTTGCCCTTGTCTGTGGCTGTGATGGTGACATCGTACTCTGCCATCTGCTCCCGGTCTAGAGCCCTGTCAATCACCAGCTTGTAATAATTCTTGGAGGTGGATTCTAATTTGAAGGGAACTTCTTCCTGAATATAGCACGTCACCAGACCATTTTGCCCAGAATCCTGGTCTTGCACTTTAATGAGGGCTATTATGGTTCCAAGGTCTGAGTCCTCGGGAATCTGGTTAGAAAAGGACATGAAGGTCACCTCTGGGGCATTGTCATTCTCATCAACAATATCAATCTGAACATTACAGTGTGCCGTGTGCACTCCTCCATCCTTAGCTTCTATACCCAACATATATCTACTTGTCTCTTCAAAGTCCAATGTACCATTGGTTGTGACGTCGCCAGTATTTGGATTGAGATTGAAGAGGAGGCTGGTACTTGTTGGGGCATTGAGGAAGGCATAGGTGACCTCTGCATTAACGCCCTCGTCCTGGTCAGTGGCCATCACCCGCAGCACGGAGGTTCCCCGGGGCACGTTTTCTTGGAGGCTAACTCTGTAAGCGTCCTGGCTGAACACTGGAGCATTATCATTGGCATCCGTGACCCGGATCCGGATCTGCGTGGTGCCGCTTAGAGGAGGGTCCCCGCCGTCCATGGCAGTCAGGATTAACTGGTGGGACCTCTGCTGTTCTCTGTCCAGAGGTTTTTCCAGCAGCAATTCGGGGTATTTACTTCCATCAGGACTTTCCTTTGTTGACAGAGAGAAGTGTTCATTGGGGTTGATAGTATACATCTTCAGGGAGTTACTTTCCACATCTGCATCTTGTGCAGAATCCAGAGGGAATTTTACCCCTGGTAAGGCTGACTCGCAGATTTCTAAGTCAATGGCTTTTGCAATGAAACGTGGTGCATTATCGTTAATATCTTGGATTGCAACAATCACGTGGAAAACATTCATTGGGTTTTCAGCGACCATTTCAAATTCGAGCGCACACTCAGATTTCCTCCCGCAAATCTTCTCTCGATCTATCCTACCGCTCACTAACAAATCCCCACTCTCCGCACTCACGCTGAAAAAGTCCTCTGCACTAACCCGCAGTTTTCGAGCTAGAAATTCCTGGACACTGAGCCTCAGATCGTTGGCGAGGTTCCCCACCCTCGAGCCCTTGGCCAGCTCCTCGGGAATCGCGTACTGGATCTGCTGGGAGATGCCTCCGCCCAAGAAAGACAGCAGGAAGAGAAACAGTACCTGATTTTTCATCGTTTCAGCTTTTCTGGAGCTCCTTTGCATTTCTTGAACTCTCTGGCAAACTTCTTTTCAAGATGTCTCTGGGATATTTAAAAAATCAATGCACCCTGGACTTTTGTGATTTGAAGGTAAGACTTGTTTATTAGGCACTCGAGAGTGCACAAGCGCCGCGTCCGCGTGCCGATGCGCAGGACAAAGCAGGAGAGCATTCTGCTTCAGGCTCCTGCAGAACTGAGAGCCCTTTTCTTCCCTTTGGTCAACAGCGGCGCCCGGAGGTTGTCTGGGAAAACTGCATATTGCCCAGCTATTTAAAATGTAAGCTCTTGAATCTATGTACCTTGTCTTTTTATTTGTTGAAAAGAACCAAATATTCAAATTTTCCCTTTAAATTTGGTATTTTCTAGTTTTTCATCATCTCATCAGTGTTGCCATCATTTTACATTCTTCTTGTTTCATTAAAATTTTTTCATAAGGCATACAGCCATTTTTTCACTTTTGGGGGCAAAAATATCTTCAACGATTTCACTGTATTTATAAACACTGGCATGACTAGCATGGATGTAACCAAACAGGTTACTGGCTTTTTATCCACATTGTAGTGGACTATGATCCTTACATTTCTGTAAATCCATAACTTCCCTTATTCAGTATTTTAACTCTATTGTACTTTATCAATTCAGCAATACTTTTCAAAGATATAGTCTGTAAAAAACGAGTGAGTCAAGGTCCTAGATTTATTTTAATGTATTGCTCATCTTTTTAAAACATAGATAATCCCATCAAGAACAGCAGAGCCTGATATTTTATTAAAGGGACCAATTTAGTATTTGGGCACACCACATGCTTTTATAAAGCTCAACCAAGTGTAAGCATATTCATTTTGTGAAACCAGCGCTTCTTTAGTATATGAATGTATATGCAAAACTCCATAATGCCAATTCTCAGCTCCAGTCAATTTATATCACTAATAAGTGAAATGAGTCTGACTTGAACACTGGTAAATCTTGAAGAGGTATTGAGAGTCCTTAGACACCACATTTTGGAATTTACTCTGTAATCCTTGAGCTGGTCTTGGGTAACTAAAACAAATACCTTTATGTCAAATGCACCACCCAATTAGATGCCAACTCAACAATGTATTCTACTATTTTGTAGTAGTAACCCAATACTCATCTTACACTCTAGTCAAAACAGACTATTATCTGTCTTCCTAAGACATCCTTTCTCTTGTTTTCACTACTTCATGCTTTTATATTTTCTGTTCCTCTTATTATAAACATTCCTCCCTTTCTATTGTAATGAATTCTTGCCCATCCTTAAAGAAAATGCTTTTTGTGAAAATGGGATGTCTGAGACCTTTCATTATCTATACAAGTAGATGGAAATTGTACTACCTTTGTATTCTCTGTGCATTTTCATAACATATATGTAGGCTATGTTTTATATGAGATTCTTAGAAAATTCTCTTTGAGAATCTCAAGTTCCCCTGGCACTCACCATTTAGTATTTTTTTCTCCCTATGACGAAAGCGATATTAATATTATAAAGAATTTTCCTAAAAAAAGATATTCCAAAGATTATGTGCCTTTCTTTTCTGTGATGTATTTGCATTTTTGAGTGAGAATACACCCTTTTCTGCTTTCAGTTATTTTGTTCAGGCTCTGTTTTCTCACACTTTTGAATGTACCTTGCCTAATATATTGAGGGAGAGATCGTTCCTCTGTTTGAGATATAATGAAAAACATTTGCTCTAATTTTGGATGACTCTCTGAAGCAACTTCATGGGTGAAAATAATTTTATAAATTTCAAAATGGGCCAACAATTTCTGGCCTAAGAAAGTTGTAGGACTCCTATTCCATTGTTGGATTGGATGGTCTAGAAATCTCCTGCAGAGGCTGAGACATATTTCCTTACGTTTTTTTTGTCCTTCTCAAAAAACAAGAAATGGCACTCCAAGGATCATAACAGTTTAGGCAATTGAACTTCCCACCTTCAGTCAAAAGGCTGAAATCAATATGAACACACACACACACTTTAGGTATACATAATAGGGACTACAGGCCAGGTAAAACCATTTGACCAACTTCTATATTTTTTACCCTACAATTTTTATGTCACTGAGATGAAAAGAGAGGTCTAGCTTGGAAGGAGTTAAGCATCATTTTATGGGATCCTAAAATACCTAGTATTTATATATCTTTTTACTTGTTTGTATCAGTCAGGATAGGCTAGCTAGGCTGCAGTGACGAACAAACTTCAAATCAGACGGATTTAAAATGAAAAAGGTCTATTTATCACAGGTATACAGATCAATGTTGGGTCAACCACAGGGCTCTTCTCTCATCGTAATTATTCAAGGACCCAGGTAGAAAGAGCAGTCACAATTCCAAAGAGTAACTTAGAGATCTGGAAATTCTCACAATGGCAACAAGAACTTCCTCCAGGAAGAGACACACTTACTTCCATTTACTATGTATTGGCCAGAACTAGCTACCTAAGCCCACTCAGCCATACTATGCCAGGAAGTGCAGCCCTACCATAGGCCCAGAGGAGAGATGAATATTTAAACAGGACTAATGACTACCATACTGCTTTATTTTCAAATAAATATGGTGTATTAAAGCTTTATAATAACCACACTGGCATAATTTTTCTTTATAACATTCAAAGAAAGACATAAACTCACCTGAAGTAGCTTGGGGTCTCCTTTTGTTTCAAGTAAATCTTGAGATACCAGGAGAGGCTCGCTTTTCTCACAGCTCTCCTGGCTGATGAGCTTGTCCGAGTAGTTGGGCTGGGGGAAAATCAGATGAGTCTCCCTTGTGTCTGAAGTGAGGGAGACCTCATGGGAATAGGTCTGCAGGAAAGTCTGCACTCTGTCCACGCCCACAAAGTGCGAGACCGGCATGCCTGGCAATACACCTTCTGAAGCCTGGAGCAGGCGAGACCTGTGGCACCGCCGCAGTCTGAGCGCCAATAGCATGATGACAAAGGCGAGGAAGACGAAGGAGACCGCAGCCACCGCCACCACCAGGTACGGGGTGAGGTCTGAATCATCCGGGTTGGCAGAGGGGTCGAAGCTGCCCAGGTTGGCCAGGACATCTGGGATGCTGTCAGCCATGGCCACGGCGAGCGTGACGGTGGCTGAGAGAGGGGGCTGGCCGTGGTCCTGGACCGCCACCACCAGGCTCTGCTTGAGCGCGTCTCTGTCCAACAGGGCCCGCGCTGTGCGCACCTCACCGGTGTGCAGCCCCACTGTGAAGAGCCCTGGCTCACTGGCCTTGAGCAGGCGGTAGGACAGCCAGGCGTTCTGGCCCGAGTCTCTGTCCACTGCCACCACCTTGGTCACCAGGTAGCCAGGCTCTGCAGAGGGGGGCACCAGCTCCATGCCAGTGGAACCGTCAGTAGGGGGGGCAGGGTACAGGATTTCGGGCATGTTGTCATTCTGGTCCAGCACAAACAGGCTCACAGACACGTTGCTGCTGAGTGGAGGGTTCCCACTGTCACTGGCTGTCAGTAGTAGCTGCAGGTCTCTAACTTGCTCATAGTCGAAGGAGCACAGTGCATACAGGACGCCAGTGTCGGAGTTGATGGAAACATAGGTGGAGAGAGGCACCCCCTGGAGCGTGCCCTCAGTCAGTGCGTAAGTGATGTGGGCGTTCTCAATGCTGTCAGGGTCCCAGGCCGTAACAGAAAAGATGAAGGCTCCCCTGGGGTTGTTTTCAGAAATGTAGGCAGAGTAGGAGTCATGAGTGAAGGCAGGTGGGTTGTCATTGATGTCTGCCACGTGCAGGGTGATGTGAGTGTCCGTGGACAGTGGTGGACTTCCCCCATCTGTTGCTCTCAGAGTGATGTTATATTCAGACACCTGTTCACGGTCCAGGGATCTAGCTGTCACTAAGCGGTAATATTGGTCTATTGCTTTTTCTAAATTAAATGGCATACTTTCAAGGATGAAAACTGTGACTTGCCCATTTTGCCCAGAATCACGGTCATGGACATTGATAAGAGCAATTTCTCTCCCAGCAGTAGCCTCTTCTGGGACTGACCTTGTGAGAGAAGTGATTATAACTTCTGGGGCATTGTCATTCACATCCAGAACTGTGACTAGAATCTTAGCTCTTGAAAGGAGACCTGGTCCATCTTGTGCGTCAATTTTAATTTCATAGAACATAGTATCCTCATAATCTAGACTTTTTAAAATTGATATATCTCCAGTCACTGAGTTGAGATAAAAAATCTGACCAATTTTCCCAGGCATTTTATCTAGCATATAGGACACTTGAGCATTGAATCCCTCGTCAGGGTCGGTGGCATTCACCGTGAGCAGCCAGGTGCCCACTGGCAAGTTCTCCTGAACACTTAATCGATACTCGGGCTGAGTAAATACTGGTGGGTTGTCATTTGCATCCAGAACTATCACTTGGATGCACAAGCTGCCAGAGTGGGCAGGGTCACCGCCATCAGAAGCAACAAGGATAAGCTGGTGAAATTTCTTTTCCTCACGGTCCAGAGCCCGCTCCAGCACCAGCTCTGGGTACTTGGCCCCATCAGTGATGCTATTCACAGCCAGGGAGAAGTAATCACTGGAGCTGAGCTCGTAGTTCTGCAGAGAGTTCAAGCCCACATCCAGGTCGAATGCAGTCTTAAGTGGAAATCGAGTTCCAGGAGCCGTTAGTTCACTAATTTTTATTTCCAAATCCTCTGTTAGAAAATCAGGAACATTATCATTAATGTCTTTAATTTCTATTTCTACTTCAAAAATTTTCAATTTGTCTTCAACCAGGATGTTAAATTTTACTAGACACCGCGCGCTCTGAGCGCAGAGCTCCTCTCGGTCTACCTTGCCGGCGGTGACCAAGCTGCCGCTCCTCGGATTCAGAGCAAAGAGCTGCGTCCTACCTCTGGAGACGATGCGAACTCCGCGCTCCGCCAGCTCCCGGGGCTCCAGCCCTAAGTCCTTGGCGATGTTGCCCACGAAGGAGCCATTGTCCAGCTCCTCCGGGACCGAGTAGCGGATCTGCCCAGATCCGGTCTTGCACAGCGTCCCTAGAAGCGCGCACAGCAGGGCCAGTCCACCGCCGTTTCTGAATCTCAGGTAACTGGTCATATCCTTTTTTGGTGAATTATTTTCTCCGAATTCGGTTCCAGTTTCCCACGACGGACTCCAATCTTATTTTCTCAAGGAACGAACATTTCATAGGCCTAATTCATAGGTCACAGAGCTGGCTGACTGAGAGGCTGAGCTTTGTAGCAGTCCCGGATCTTCTGAGTCTGATTTGCTGGTTCTTCGTTCTTTGGGAACCAGGAAATCGACTAGCTCTCCAGCTGCATTTTCCTCCTTGAGTGGTCAACAGCGACGCCCAGAGGCCCAACCGTTTACTGCACCCTCTCAGACAAACCCAAGTTAGCATTTTTTGTTTCCCAACGCCTGAAATCCTTTTTATCAGAAGTAATGGGACTGGTGTTTATTTCACATAATTGAATTGCTATATGTTAAAGGATGTGACTTCAAGTTATCTTCCTCAGGAAGCCATGCACTAACCTTAATGCCACCAATATTGCTTCAAACATGCTGGAGCTACTGTTTTGAAATGTTCACACAAAAGTTTAAGAACCACACAGAATATCAGCATTTATAGGTTATACCTCTTGAACTTTGTTCTTGATAGCCTGACATCTTAGTTTCAATATTTGTTATTTAACCCATTCATTACACAAACATATAATTGGGTGTCAGACAATACCTGAGGATTTAAGTGAACAATATGGACACAGCCACTTCCTTCATAGTTTATGAAGATATAAAAGCAAAGAAGGAGGAGCCAGCCCTGTGGCATAGCCGTTAAATGCGCGCGCTCCGCTGCTGGCAGCACAGGTTCAGATCTCGGGCGCGCACCGATGCAGGGCTAGTCAGGCCATGCTGTGGCGGTGTCCCATATAAAGGGAGGAAGATGAGCACAGATGTTAGCCCAGGGCTAGTCTTCCTCAGCAAAAAGAGGAGGATTGGCATGGATGTTAGCTCAGGGCTGTAGCTCAAGGCTGATCTTCCTCTCACACACACACACACACACAAAAGCAAACAAGGAATTACAGTGTGTTGAGATAACTACCATAATTGGCCCATAATTGGAGAAGCCAAGAGCGGAGAAATGAGAGGGCCTCCAATCCGGCCTTGGAGGTTAGCAAAGGCTTTCCCAAGAAATATGAGAGGAATGGATCGGGGAAAAGGCCTGGATGTAAGAGAGAACAGCATGGCAATGCCTAGATGTGAGAGAAAAATCACAGAACTTCAGGGGACTACAAGTAGTTCACTTTGCCTAAATCTATAGTGTGAGGATCTTTCTTAAAGACCAAAAGTGAAACTAGTAGAGATAAACTTTCATGTTCCAGAAACTCTTTTCCTGTATTTGTTTTCCTCTATAAGCACAGAAATAGAAATACAATATATTTGTCATTTCAATCATGATGCATTATATATCTATGCATAAGGCATTTATTCTTGTGAAGAGTTACTATACACACTAAAAGGAACTCTGCCTTTAATTTTCCTCAGTTCATACTTACAAGTAAAGATGTTATGACATATTATTCCACAGTGAGTTCCAATTTTACTTCATAGAGAATTATGTAATAGTAATAAACACAATGAAATACATTATCTCAGATCAATTTTCCCTCAGATGCCCTTAAATATAATAAAGAATCACAGCACCTTGAAAGATGATGATACCATTAAATACAAGACTCACTAAGTATGTGATTACTTCCAAATAAAAATAAAAAATGATCCCAGGTACATAGAATATTAGTGTATTCTTTGTCCTCTGTCATTAAATATATGACTAACATGCTAAAAGCCAACATGGGAAGAGGAATGGAGAAGGAAAACTGGTTGTGAGGGGGACTGAGGTTGGCAGAGGGATTGGAAATGTTTTTAACAGCTTCTGTGAGTAAAAAACCTTGAGAAGAGAGATGTATAAGGAGGATCTTCAGGGAGCAATTATTTGATATGGTCTCGGAATCCCTTGAGGATATATATTATTTTTAAGGATAAAAAGACAATATGGTTTCCAGATATAAGAAAAATAAAAACATCAAAGAGAAATGTGTTTACTATAAAACTACTCATTTATTATAGAGCAAATGATAACTCAATCACTTCTTCAAGGAACACACAGCTACTTTAGAGGCAAATGAGATTTTTAACTCAGCAGACATACCTTGACATACCTTCCTGAAATATGGTTAAGCATATATATTTCTAAATTTCCATCTTTTAAATAGGGAAGGTCATGCAAATCAAGAAAAATGAAAATTACTGCCAAACTGAAGGGAAAATATTAAGATTGAGTGAGAAGGAACTAACCACCTGAAGTGTTTCATTATTCATAATCAACTGAAATGTATAACATAAAAGCCTTAAATTTTAAAGCACTTGAGTAAACATAAGATTCAACCTTCATATTTTTAAGAAGGGATTGTTGACCCAGGTAGATGACATGATTTGCCTAGGGATGGGAAAGACAGAATGAGAAACCAGATACTGCAGTTCCTAAGGCGGTGCTCTTTTAATAACCTAAATATCATCTTCACCTACTAATTCCTGATTTATACTTATGACACAATGATTCTAGCTCCTCTTCTCCCTTACAGGGTGTGAACACTTAGAAGTACTGAGAAATAATTCATCAGGACTCACTTTCTAAAAATTGAATATATTCACAAGGAAATATGCGAAATAGAAGAGAGATTGTAAACAGTGGAGGCAGCTAAGTAAAAAGGTAATTTTACTTATTTTAGCAATCGCTCATTGAGTATATTGCGAAGAGAGTTTACCTGAGAAAATGTTTCTTCTCCTTTATCTTCAAGTAAAGGCTGAGGTACTGATAGAAAATCCTTTTTCTCACAGCTTTCCTGGCTGACGAGCGTCTCCGCGTAGTTGGGCTGGGGGAAGATCACGCGACTCTTTTGCGAGTCCGCTGTGAGGGAGACTTCGTGGGAATAGGTCTGCAGGAAAGCTCGCACCCCGTCCACGCCTAGGAAGTGCGAGGCGCGCACGCCCGCCAACCCGCCTCCTGGAGCCTGGAGCAGGCGCGATGTATGCCAGCGCCGCAGTCTGAGCGCCAGCAACATGATGACAAAAGCGAGGAAGACGCAGGAGACCGCGGCCACCGCCACCACCAAGTACAGAGTGAGGTCTGAATCATCCGGGTCGGCG